CCAAAGGGAATGTTTGAAATTCAAAAAGCGTTCAAATAAGAGGCTATTAAAATAATGACGGCTTTTGAATGGTCTTAAAAAATTAAAGAAAGTGTGACGTCAGTATTTGATGATTCAAGGTGCGGAAGCCAACAGATTGTCCACACCGCTGAAGATGTTGAAAAGATGAAGGTTTTGATTATGAAAAATCGTCGGATAACGATCAAAGAGATTTCAGAAGCGACCAACATATCATTTGGACTATGCCAGGAAAACATTCACAAAGATCTGGGTCTGAAAAAAAACTGCAAGCAAGTTTGTGCAAGGTCATCATGACGACGCACGCCCGAATACAGCCCATTCAGTTTTCGCTTTTTCGGCCAAAAATAACACCTCTGGGACCTTTTATAAAAATCTCGTTTCCAACGGTCCAACAATGGGTCAGTCTGTTGGGCAATGGGGGGGTTGGCGGGTCTGCTGTGGATTCTGTCCCGGCCTTTTTTTTTTTTTTAGCTTTCCCTCTCTCCCAACTCTTTGAGACGGAATCCATCTCATCCGCTGACCAATCCTCGCATAGTTGGGCCATCTGGCTCGGCCAGGTCATCCTAAACATGGAGTTTGGATGTACTCAAGCGAATTGGATGACCTGGTTCTGTCAGAAGAATGGAATAGGGCTTCTACGGGAGGCGAAGCGCCACTATAAAAAAAAAGGCTAACGCGTTGAGCAGGTACCTCCTGGGTGGCTTGGAAACGCTTTGCAAAAATATTAATGAACTAGTCTGGTGATGCATGGACTTCTTGGGATGAAAGAATAAATAAAGAAAAAAGACATGAAATATTTAAATAGAACAATAATTTGTGTTGATAAGAAAACACCTTATATAAATAACTAGCAGATGTACCCGGCTTCGCCCGGTTTTTACCAGAGTAAAGGTTTGTCTAACAAACATTTGTTGAACAATTCTAGAAAACATCCAATCCCTACTGAATCTATACTTGGCAAGATAACTTTATGTTTGATTATCTGCTCCACCTAGCTGTACCCGTTCAAACGTTGCTGTCTTTGAACAAAAAGGCAGTTTTAATACCTAAATAATAATTTATGAATGATCAAATGTATACAATACATCAAAATGAAAATTAACAATAAAATTATCCCTACATAAATGTCATTTGAATATAACATATGTAAAAAATAATAGATATAATTTGATAATTTGAAACTCGTAAATTTGAATCTCTCGATAAAATGAACATTTTTTCCCGGTCCCTTGAAAAATACTCGATAAGTTGAATAAAACCAATATAAATTGGTTCCCTCGGTAATTGGAAGTTAAAGGAATAGTATCTTGCCACAAACGAGATATAGAATAGATTATTCTTGTCTCAAATAAATTGCCGTGTCATCCTGAATTTTGTCTTTCCTAATTTTCTACATTACAAAATCATCATTTTATCTATTCTCCCAATATATATATATGTTGTAGATAAATGATGAAACTAACTTTGACTTGTGCGCAATTAATAGGTAGAAAATCTTACTTTTGATAAATAATCTTTAAGATAATAAACTTTTAGTGATAATAAAACTTATAGATAAAAAAACTTGTTGGTAATCAAACTTATAGATTACTAGACGTATGACCCGGCTTCGCCCGAGAATTCCCCCGATTGCAATTTCCTTCATACTGAAAGTACATCAATAATAAATATTAGAAGTGCCATAGAATAGCAATACAGAAGTAACACATAAACTACAGTAAAAAAGTGTGTGTGATGGCAAAAAATGTATTATATTAGTGTTTATGGGGGTATTTGATTTAATTAATATAGTTGATATAATAATATATATTTATCTATCTACTAGACGAATGGCCCGGGCAACGCCCGGGTTTTACCCGAGTGCGCATATATTTTTAAAAACGTTTTAATTCAAATACTATTCGTTACAATTATAAATTGGCGCCATGGATGCCACTCTTGTGAAACGTCCCGTTCCAAACTCGGCAAAGCCAGGGACGATATAGGCTCAAAGTGGCCCTTGCGTCCCCTGTAGTTCGCTGAAATCTAGATCCACACACAGCCAGAAGGAATGATGCATTCTCCATGCACCGAGCGGCCATTGGTAGGCCCCTCGCGCCCGCCATTATGGTCTGGCTCTGTGGGGTTGACCACTCACCCACAGGCGTCATCGAGAGTCATTGGCAAGGTTGCTGACCGAGCCCTCTCGTCGGACTTAGAAGAACCCGTCCTACGCTCCAATAGGACTCCCCCCCCTTTAGCCCTCGAACCCTTAGTTCCCAGTACTCCCTGAATCTGCCGTCGAATCAAGGACCTCTGAGGTTCTGAGGTTGACGCGGGGAAACCGACGCGGAGGCGGGGGGGTGGTACTACTGTGTGCACCCCTTGGTTTTTCAACACCAGGCCTAGCCCTGGTGCAATTTTCGCGCACGGCAAGGGCGCTCCCAATGACGCACACACAGAGCGAAGACCCAAGAGTTTCAAGACACGTGTGCCTCGCCTCAGACAACCAAGGAAAGACGGCCAGCTTACAGCTTCACTGGACGTCAGTCAGTGGCACCCCTACGGAGGACAACACGCAGAGACGCCTCAACACTCACTCCCCTCTAGAGTGATTGTAGAGGGCGGGAAAAACTTCTTCCCCGTTCCAAACTGTGTGTTTTTAAAATGTTTAATTAAAATACTAATTGTTACAATTATAAATTGGCGCCGTGGATGTCTCTCTTGTGAAACGTCCCGCCCCAAACTGTGTGTGTCTTGAAAATATAAAAATAAAAATGTGAATTTTCATAAAGATTTCATCATGTCGATTTTTTTTTTTATTTTTTTTTTTTGCATTTCACCTACTTAGGTATATTGACTAAATAGAAAACTGCATAGTAATAAAGATAATTTTTTAAAGGCACCATATCGTTTTTTTTTTCAATAAAATCGAAACAAAAATTAACGATAAATAACGATAATTGCCTTAAAAAGAAATTGCCTTAAAAAAAAGAAACATTCGCGGTGATTTTGTCTTGCATTCGTTTATACAATTATTATATACGAATGACCCGGGCAACGCCCGGGTTTTACCCGATTAAATGCTTTTATTCAAATACTATTCGTTACAATTATAAATTGGCGCCGTGGATGTCATTCTTGTATAATATATAAATGAGTTTTAAAAATTGTAAAAAAAAAAAAAAAATGCATCGGCCGGGAATCGAACCCGGGCCGCCCGCGTGGCAGGCGAGCATTCTACCACTGAACCACCGATGGTTATGAAAAATCCCATCCGTGAGCTTCAAACAGACAAACAGACAGAATAAGGCAAATATATAAGTAGTAAGTAGTAAGTAGATATTAATAAAATGCAAATTTCATAAGAGGACATCACTAAAAACTTTCGTTACAATGCATCAATTTCGATTAAATTTTCAACATTTATGTAAAACGAGATGGAGCAGGTTTTGCTTAACATCAAAATATTTTTCCCTAACATTAACATGCGTAACTTCGCTGTTATCGATTAAATACAAAAAAATCAACAGAGTTAATTTTATTTATATATAAATACAAAATTAAATTTCAACAGAGTTAATATTTTTACATACTAGCTAATAATCTCAATCTGAAAATATAATATAAAAAGCCAACAATGAAGAATGAATGTAAGATAAAAAGCCAACAATGAAGAGTGAATGTAATATAAAAAGCCAACAATGAAGAATGAATGTAAGATAAAAAGCCAACAATGAAGAGTGAATGTAAGATAAAAAGCCAACAATGAATAGTAAATGTAATATAAATAGCCAACAATGAAGAATGAATGTAAGATAAAAAGCCAACAAAGAAGAGTAAATCTACTTATATAATTGTCTTATTCTGTCTGTGTGAAGGTCACTGTGTGAAGTTCACAGATAGATTTTGGTCAGAATATTATATAAAAAGCCAACAATGAAGAGTAAATATGATATAAAAAGCCAACAATGAAGAATGAATGTAAGATAAAAAGCCAACAATAAAGAGTAAATGTAATATAAAAAGCCAACAATGAAGAATAAATTTAAGATAAAAAGCCAACAATGAAGAGTAAATATAATATAAAAAGCCAACAATGAAGAATAAAGGCAATGTGACACGGCAATGTGACACGGGAAAAAATGTTCACTAGATAAAACTATGATTTTCTAATGTAGAAAATTAGGAAAGACAAAATTCAGGATGACACGGCACACAGGGACCGGGAAAAAATGTTCACTTTATCGAGAGATTCAAATTTACGAGTTTCAAATTATCAAAATATATCTTTTTTTTTAAATAAGTTTTTAGAGAATTGTTTTAACAAATGTTCGCTAGACAAACCTTTACTTGGGTAAAACCCCGGGCGAAGCCGAGTACGTTTTATAAGTTTATAGAGAATTGTTTTAACAAATGTTCATTAGACAAACATTCACTCGGGTAAAACCCGGGCGAAGCCGGGCACATCCGCTAGTATATTAATAAAATGCAAATTTCATAAGTGTTGTTCACTAAAAACTTTCGTTACAATGCATCAATTTCTACCAAATTTTCAACATTTATGTAAAACGAGATGGAGCAGGTTTTGCTTAACATCAAAATATTTTTCCTAACTTTAACATGCGTAACTTCGCTGTTATCGATTAAATACAAAAAAAAATCAACAGAGTTAATTTTATTTATATATAAATACAAAAAAAATTCAGCAATTCATTCAACTCAATCTAAAAAAATATTCAAAACAAGCAATTTTAAGATAACACCATATGTAAAACAGTCGGCCAAGAAAACAACAACGATATTACATCTTTCTCACATATTCACACACAATCTTGATTAATAATTAAAACCAATCTTTAACATTGTTTATTATACTTCATAATATATAATATTCGTTAGGCAAACTTTCACTCGGATAAAACCCGGGCGAAGCCGGGTACACATCCGTTAGTATTATATATAATATAAATGAGTTTTAAAAATTGTAAAAAAAAAAATGCATCGGCCGGGAATCGAACCCGGGACGCCCGCGTGGCAGGCGAGCATTCTACCACTGTCCACCGATTTTATAAAAAAAAATGGCCATTTTTGGGTATTTATTTCATTCCGGATTACTCCGCGTAAAAAAAGTTCTTTAAATGAAAAAAGAAATAGCCAAAAATACTAATCAAAATGTAGCCGAAAATTTTCCTCAGGTTTATAAAAAGCGACATGCAAAATTTGGTACCAATTGGTTCAGTAGTTTTTGAGTTTATCGCGAAACAGGCAGACATTGACTTTTATATATAGAGAGATAAAACTTGTTATCTCGTCGCAATGGGGGCGCTGCTTGCGAGTTAAATCTACAAATCTACAAATAACTCTAATGATATTCAAGATATTCAAGAAATTATTTTTCAAAAACCTTCCCGGGGATATACCTAATAATATCCCAAAATTTCACAGCGAATGGAAGTATGGTTTTTGAATCTATAGAGTACAAACATACAGACAGACATTCAATTTTATATATATATAGATAAATAAAAATAAATTTTAAAAAACTTTTATATCAATGGTGTGTACTCTAAAAAAGAAAAAGAAAATATTTGATCATCTGTCATTGATAAATTAGATTTATATGAGTGAAAATGAAAGCTTAATCTTCAGATTTAGCTCCTAATAACTTTTTCCTTTATCCTAATTTGAAATTTATCTTACAGATAGCCCTCAAAATGTGGACAGACCTCTACATCCAAGATTACTCCACCAGAAATCTACGAAGATTTGCTGCTACCCCAAAACTACTCCTCCAAATGCTTCGAAACATCAAGCATGGATCTACCTCCACAACAATCCTGACCGGCCATGGCTACATTCAGGCAGACCTTACAACGGTATCGAAAGAAGACCCAACTTGCCCCCACTGCCAAGATGAAGACCAAACCGTAGACCACCTCCTCTTCACTTGCCCAACCTTCCAATACCAAAGATTCCAGACAGCCACTCTCCTAGGTTTCACCAACATATGTACAGCATCCCTAGAAAATCTCCCAAGAAAGAAATCTGCCTGGCAACACCTCATTAATTGGACTTCCACTGGCATTGTATATAAATCCAAGAAGACTTAGGTCAGAAGGACATCCCGGGTAGTTGGCGACTTCTGTACGCTCCAGGAACCTGGGTTACTTAAATAAATAAATAAATAAATTTATCTTGAAAGGGAAGAGGTTTGACACAAAGGAGAGATAAAAATAAAATCCCTGGAAGTTTTCAGAAGTCTTACAGAAGACGCAGCATGTTTCGCTGGTTGGGAGAAAAGATGGAGGCGATGTATTGATGTAGGAGGGGATTATACTTTATAATACAATATAATACGGCTTACGATTGTAAAACGACATTTGAAAATTATCCTGCATGTGTTTCTTTTGAACGAAAAATCTAAATCTATTTAAAGGAGAAATAGCGATTATTTCGAACCTTAGGGATTATGAAAGGGTGAATTGTGAAGAGTAATTATAAACGGAAAAATATAAAGTGTCCAGGGATGGGAATCGAACCCACAGTGTTCCGCTTACCGGGCAGATGCCATGTCCACTAGACTACCCTGGACATATATATCCATTCTTAATAATCGTTATTTATCCTTAAAATAAATTTCGATTTTTCGTACAAAAGAAACACATGCGAGATAATTTTCAAATGTCGGATTATACTTTAAAAATTAACAAATATTTATGATATTATTTGGTAGAATAAAGTTATACTACCAGTCCCCGGGAACTTAATGATCATACCTTGTATAATACTAACAAATATGTACTTCTCTCGCCTGGTTTTCACCCATGTTTGCCTAACGAACATTTTTTTAAACAATATTTTCGGGGCAAGCATTCACTCCTTACTGCTGAATTGATAATAAGTCGGTGGATGAGAGGGTAACACGCTCGATTCCCGACAATAAGTCGGTGGATGAGAGGGTAACACGCTCGATTCCCGACAGTCATGAACCGGGATTGAATCCCGCGTTAAAATTTGTTTAATATGTGAATAACCTTCACATATATTATTCATTGTTTCAATTATTATGAACTAGGTTGCTCTTGCTGAGCGGTACCTATTAATGTGAATTTGAACCAGGCAGGCTGAATTGATGTTTGTTCCTTTTCTCAACCAAAATTATTCCATAAACCATAGGAAAATTGATTAACATAAGGTAATCAAACAATTATTAAACAATAGATCATGATTAGATCATATTGAGAGTAAAGGTAAATATTTAATAAACACATAAGAATCGTTTTTCAGTTATTACATATTGAATTCCATTAGGTACAAAATTCATTATGATCGTCCCCTGCCGCTTTTATTTTCACTCATATAAATATAATTTCTCAATGGCAGATGATGAAATATTTTATTTTTTCTTTTCAGAGAAAGTATACACATTTTAATAAAAAATTTTAAAAAGTATTTTTATTATTATTTATATAATGTGTTTTTTATCAAAACAATATTATTGTTCGATTTAAATATTTCCATCTATTTCGTTATTTTTTCTTTAATCCCAAGAAATCCATTAATCATCAGACCATTTCATTAATATTTTTACAAAGGGTTTCAAAGCCACCCAGGAGGTACCTGCTAGACGCGTTAGCCTTTGTTTATAGTGGCGCTTCGCCTCCCGTAGAAGCCCTATTCCACTCTTCTGACAGAGCCAGGTCAACCAAGTCGCTCGCGTACATCCAATCTCCATGTTTGGGATGACCCAGCCGAGCCTGATGGCACAAGCTATGCCAGGGCTGGTCTGCCGATGAGATGGGTTCCGTCTTAAAGAGTCGGGGAAGAGGGAAAGCTAAAAAAAGGCCCGGACAGAATCCACAGCAGACCCGCCAAACCCCATTTCCCAACCGACTGACCCATTGTTGGACCGTTGGAAACAAGATTTTTATAAAAGGTCCCAATAATTTTGAAATATCTCTATGAAATATTAATTTATTAAAATTTATATATATATCAAATATATTATATATAATAAAAATACAACTTTGATATTTTGAGCAAAAGTAATATTGAATCATGTGATTTCTATTGAAAACTTACTTCAATGTGTAAAAATTAATATATGAATTTAAACAAAAAAGCTAGTAAATAACAATCTAAAAATTTTCAAAAAGATGGCCGTATTTGTGGGACCACTGCCTGTGTGCACGCTACGACGATAATATTAAGCTAAATGTTTTTTGCTATATGCTTTTTTTTATTAATTTTCTCCCAGAAAAATACCATCTTGATATAAATATTTTTTTTAATTAAAAAGGCATATATTGGATAAAAAAATCATTTATTTTACCAATATTTCAGTTTGCTGAACGCCAACCTTTAGCAAGGTGTTATAACATTTTAAAGTGTGTCAACAACAAACTCAGCGCCACATAACGTCAACAGAATTATGTTTTTAAAAATATTTTGTTATATTCAATGGGGAGAAAAAATTTGATATATAGGTTTTTAACTTTTAATTAGACAATTCCAATCTATATTTAGACATTCCTCATTTTAATTTAGACACTTTCTAAATATTGGTAAAATATTGGTAAAATAAATGATATTTTGATCCAATATATGCCTTTTTATTTAAAGATATATTTATGGATTGCTCTATTTTCAAAAAGATATAAATATATTTATAGATATAGAAAATTTTGCCACACGCACACACAAACAAAAGGATATTGATCTAGAGTAGCAAAGGTCGCCTCCACCGTCAAATTATACGTCAAAACTAGATGTTATATATTGACCATCGACACAAACTAGCGGTCGCGGGTCGGTGACAAAGCCACAATACCAGCTGTGCCAAACAGAGAAGTGTCCACCTAGAGACCATGGTTTCGAGCTCATGGCTCTCTTCAGCCCTGGGCGGACTTGTGGCGTCTAGTTTTGACATTTATTTTGACGGATGAGACAACCTTCTCTTCAATATATATTGTTTGGATTTCGACTCGGCCTTTTAATATGTCCAGCTACAGTTCCAACCTCTCCTACAACCGGCCCGGTGAGACCCAGAACATCATGACCTACCTGGACAGTACCACGAGCCCAGTACTGCACCAAATAAACCATCCGAGTAGTACATCCCCATCTCATCAATATGTGTGTGTGAAAAGTTAGCTGCTTATGGTTTAAGCGACCGTTTCATCAGAGCCTCATACAGAGCTATTATACTCCAATGTCATCAACAGTTAGATGGAATGGCTCACTTACGGAATTTATAAAAATACAATCCAGAGTCCTACAGGGTGAACCGTTATTACCTCACTTATTTATCCTTTTTCTAAACGACTTTTAGTTTCTCTGATGATGCAGAAATGAGAAGTATTTATTTACTGAATTATGAAAACATACACTTCCTTCTGTTCGCAGATGATATTGTGATTTTGGGAGAATCCTAAAATAAATATTCAGATAAATATTAATTTACTCCGAAAATATTTCGAAGAAAATTTTCTAACTTTGAATCAAAAGAAGTCCAGGGTTATGGTGTTTAGAAATAGAGGTAGACTGACTCGCTCTGATGTTTGGTTCTGGGGACAACTCATGACAACATCTGAATACACGTATTTGGGTTACCAACTGACAACTTCAAACTCAACAGGCTGCGTAACTTTTTAAAAACAAGTCGCTTAATGCCATTAATGCGGTTTGGGTAATGTTGACCAAATCAAAAATCAACTCTAACTCAGAAGGAAATTACATCAATATGCAAGATAGCAACAGAACAATCTATTCAAAATGATCACTAATCACAATAGAAAATTATAAATTTTATCCACACTATAAACACTTACAAAATTCATTTTTGACTGGAGGCTATTTATTTAGCGATTTTCCATTTCCAGTAAAACGCTATATTACACAACAGAGAATCCTCAATTAGTTTTTTTTTTTTTCAGGAAAACCATATCAAAATCTTCAGTGAGGGGGATACAATATGCGATCTTTGCAAGTAAAAAATAGAAATTGAAATATTTAACTACATCTTTGAATGTCAGAATATTAGCAAAGAAAGAGAGACTTTTTTTCAA